CGTCAATGGATTATGATCTTTATTCGAAAGAGACATGATGATTTGATCGAGGGTCATTTGCTAAAGTATCCCCACTTTCGAGGGACGTGACCAATATCGTAAGGCAACAAGAGAGGTTACCCTAGAGGTGCAAGTGTGTGAAGTGTGTTAATTCAGTTATATTATCTTGGGAATTAGGTTTTCTATGTCTTTTTTAGTCTTGCCATGCAAACCCTAGTTACTAGCAATTAAATATGTGCAGAAAAAATAAAGTGCGGAATATAAAGACCTAAACTATTACATGGCTCTGGGAGAGATACATAAGTATAAAAATTTGCGGGAAAGTAAACCTACGCTATTACATTCTCGGAGCAGATATATAACTAGAAAAATAAGAGAAAAGAAATCTACGCTATTATATCAATAGTGCGACCTATACAATTTGTCTAATAAAATTAAATAGCAAAAAGATGAATAAGAAAAAGAATGTTAAAATGTTAAAATGTTTTTGTGGTTTTTTTTAGAAAATAATTTAAATGATAATAGTAATTAAAATCCTAATTCTAATTAATTTTAATATTAAGAAGAAAATTTTAGTTAATTAATTAATTAATTAGTAAATAAAAATAAGAAAAATTTAATTACTAATTAAAACCCTAATCCTAATTTGTTAGTATTAAAAAAAGATTAGATTAATTAATTATTAATTAAAAAAAACTTAGTAAAATATGATGAAAAATAGGTTTAGTAAAATAAGGAAAAAAGAATTGCATGGGGTGGGTGTTGAACCCACACCCCTAGCTTCACATATTACCTTTCAACCACTGCGTTATCGCTACTTTTGTGTTTAGGAATAAGAACTAATCAATATAATATTAACACACGCGTTAGTTTGGAAAAACAACAACAAAAATTTCAAGACATAGGGATCGAACCCATGCCCCTCACGTTACATGCCTCTGTCTCAAAGCAACTGCGATGCACTGCGTTTTTGTTATAGAATAGAAACAGATAAATATATAATAAAATCAAGTGAATCAGGGAAGCGCCAGAGCCTTAGCTCCGGTCGTCTTCTCCGATGAGAAGATTTTCCAACCTGCAAAAATAGCAAGATTTAGATCATAAAAGGGACTTTATCCCCCTAATTTAACCCTTACGAATCCAATGGAGATGTTAGTTTAGGTTGAAAACAATTGTAATATGAGATATGAATAAAAAGTTCCAAGCTGCCCTAACAATGGCATCTCACGATCCCTGCGTCAAAGCTTACAAATAATGGATCAAAACAATCCTAAACATGATCGTGAACATGTATACATGCATTAAATTAATTAAATATACATAGATTAAAAGTTTGAGATTCACGAAAACTACCAAATCGGTGATGTTAAGATGTGATGATCTAGCGCGCTTCAGGCTTCAAGGATGGATGGGATGAACTCCTGAGAACTTCAGGAACACAATGGAATGCTTGTAATGGATTGAAAGTGGCTGCACACAAGATTTATAGTTTGCCCTAGTTTTGACAATTTTGAGATTTTTTAGGACTTGTTCTTGAGGCCAATTTTCGTGTCCTTAGATGTATGAATATGTTTTCTATTTATAATAGAAAATATTAGGTCAACAATATTGAATCAAATATTATGCAATCATGGTATAATATTTGATTTGGAATTTCATGATCAAATATTGATGAAATTACAAAAGATTTGAATTTCATGATCAAATATTGATGAAATTACAAAAGATTTGAATTTCATGATCAAACATTTGATTGAAGTTTTGCATGAAATCTTTCTTTTTTAGGTCAATCTCATATCAATCACGTTTTTGTAAGTTGTCACCAGCTTTTTAGACTTATGATTTGATTCAAAAATAGATCCACATGCCTTATATCATTTATTTGATATTTTATTTGATATTTTATTTGATTTAATTTGCATTTAAATGAATAAGATCCAAATAAAAGAAATAAAAATTATGTGAATAGATTTAAAGGTCTAATATGAGGTCAGAAACACATTTGGACCTTAAAAGATAGGCTCATTAGTCCAAAAATTAAAATTTGCTCAATTTGAACTTCATGTATTTTCTCAAAATTGTCCAACTTGCATCAATCATAACTCACTCAATTTTTGTTATATGAAGGTGTTTTTGGACTTTTTGAAAAGATAAAAATGTCTCCTACAACTTTCACGATGATCATTTTTTCATTTGAATCCTTTTTCTTAATGTAAAGTGCTTTGACAAAAAGTGTTTTTTTGTTGACTTTTAAAATGACTTGTAATGTTTTGGTCTATATCTCTCAAATGAAGCATTTTTGGCCTTGATCTTAGAAAGACAAAGTTGTAGAGAGTTTAATTTACTTCAAAATAGGCTTTGGTTAAGGAATTTCTTATGAAGTATGTGAAAGTTATGTTTGGTAAAAGTTTAATTGACTTCTCCTTAAGAAAACCCTAATTTAGTAACTTTTGACTTTTGATAAATCTTGAGTTTTCTTGATAAATCATGATAAACCCTTCATCAAATGATGAACGTGATTTAAAAATCTTGATGTTGACCAAAAATCTTGAAGATTGACTGTAAATAGGTCAAAGTTAACTTTTTGTCCAATATAGTTAATTTTCAATCATCTGACTAATTGACTGAGCAAACTTGTGCTGCAATGCTTGAAATTTGGCATGAGGACTCTTTGAAGCATATGAGAAACCATGAAATCCACTTGAGGCATCAGAAGTTCAATTTTCTTTGAGAAAAGCAAAATCCTAGTTGTAGGTCAATGCTTAGGAGGAGGGTTTGTTTGGTCAACTCTTGAGTAGTCTTGAGTGTTTAGGACCTTCATATGCATGAGGAAGTATCTTAAATTAATTTGTCTTGAAAATGAGAGGGAAAATTTTGTGGTACAACACATACCTAGTCGGGGCCGATGTGAAAGGTCGACATAGCCGTTATAATATTCTAAAGGCCACATAAGAGTTATAGAAGCTAGTAAAAAGGATGTTACACCTCATGATGATATGGCTGAAGTTAACAAATCCTCTTTATGGCCGAAGATATGGAGTCACCAATCAATGAATGAAAGACCTATGGGTGGAGGTATAAAATGGAACCTCTATGAGAGGAAAAAAGACAACCAATACGCAAAACACAAGCAAGATTACAATCACAAAAATACAGAACAATTGAGGTCTCGCCTGATTCACTTCGGGGAGGCTATCCAAAAGTGTTTGGCAGAAACAAGTTTGAAATGTTGTTTTAGTGTGTATGTGTGATTAGCCGTATAACTTTTCAAGAAAGCCTTTATGATTTTACATTATTATTCACTCAGACGCATCACGACAAACTTTCATACACTTCAAGTCTTGTCAAATGCTTCACTTTTGTAGACACTTGCTTGAGCTTCACTTTGACATGAAGCTTGAGTTATATTCCATTTGGATTCCATTATCTAAAAATCAAGTTTATCAAGTCCTATTAATTTGGTTGAATCTTTAACTGTGTTACACTTGACTTTAATAGTTATCATCAAAGACTAGTTGTCATCATCAAAATCATGTTCGTCTTTAAGAGAGTTTCCTTGACCATTAACCTGCAAAACAAGGTTCCAGAGTCCCTAGTATGATGGGATCCACCCAATCACCTAAAATAGCCTTACCAACATTCTTGGTCGAAGTTGATACTATCACCCTGTTTAAAATATATTGTAAATAAAACCAATGCAGGTACAATGAAGAAACAAGTTCGAACAGTCCTTGTCTTAGAAGTCCTAATGAAGGGGCACAAGAGCAAAGAAACATAGACTTTAAGCTCAGAAGAAGGATTAATTCAACATCCATAACCAATGTCAATGAACAAGGTCATTTGAGTTTGATTCAATGACAAAACAAAACACTATCTTCATAGACATGTAACAGAAAAAAGGAAAAGTAATGCTTCAAATACCCTTTATACTCCTTCCAAGAACCAAGGATCATACAATTCACCCCACACTACCAACACTTGAGATATTCTTATAAACAATTTGGAAGCACTCGAACACTCTAAAGATGGGGAAACATCATTACTAGCTAGTGAATAAAGGCATGTTAATCACTCCCAACATTACATTGAGACCTCTAATAGGGGTATTTAATACACACATTCTCGAGAACAGTGGCATTTCATCCAGGACTTCCACATTCATAGATACAATGTTCGAGTAATAATGATGCGTATCACAAACTCTCTTCCTACAAAGAAGAGATAAGGGCTTCGTGGAATACTGTTCTGGATCTTTCGTAAGGTCTAGAAGATGAAGGCTCAAATCAAGAAATGGCAAAACTTTTGAATGCAGAGCATGTGTACCCCTTTTCTTTCGCATCGCATGTAATCCCTCACGAGAAACGTGGCGCTAACAACCCAAATCAATCAAATGGTTAGCTACATCCCACACCATTCTATGCGCGTGAAGTTATCAACCATATATCATATTTAAAGAGGAAAGCGCGCTAATTGACAAATATTCGATTTCATTTTCACCCAAACTTTACTTTTCATTTTCTTACTGACTTGAACGTTAAAATACTTAACTTACCGCTTAATCTCTTTTCCATTACATCGAAAACAACAAAACACCGTATTAAATGACACATTCATCTTCTCCTATCAAATCTAATTCTAACATATAACACATGAAAAAGTTATTCGTTACTCAAATTTTCATAAATGTTTGAATATTCATTCCTTAAAATTATGTAATTTGAGAATCAATATAGAATGTTATTAATACACAATCAAGCAATTTATAATACAAAATTGTTGTACATATATATAAAATTGGATGCTTGGTGTCTGCTCAGCAGCCTTTCTAGATTGACACCTAAATCTCATTCTGGCGCGCGTCTTTATTCCCTCTAACCTCACCACCATCATCATTTCATACAAACATTCGATCCTTCATTTTTCTTCTTCTTTCATGAATTTTACAATCTCATCATCATTCTAAACACAAAACCTTCCATGATCCCCAAAACGCCGTCGTAATGGTTACAGATTCCAAACCCATCCCCCACCACCGTGGCCTCATCGTCGGCAACTACTGCCACGACATCCTCCTCCACAACAACCTCGTAATCGCCGAAACTCTCGGCGGCGCCGCTTCCTTTATCTCCACCGTCCTCGACGCCCTCTCTCTCCCCTTCCACCTCGTCTCCAAAGTCGGCACAGACTTCTCCCACGCCGCCCTCACAACAACCCACCCACCTCTCGTCGTTCCCTCCTCCCAAACCACCCTCTTCCACGCCCACTTCGGATCAAATCACCCAGACCGGATTCTAAACCGGGTCACATCGTGTAGCCCGATAACCCCATCCGACCTTCCAACCGGGTCGCGGTTCCAATTCGGAATGGCGGTTGGAGTTGGCGGGGAGATTCTCCCTGAAACATTGGAAAAATTGTTGGATATTTGTGATACGGTGTTCGTCGATATTCAGGGTTTGATTCGGAGATTCGAAGATGATGATGGCCGCGTGAGGCATGTGGGGTTAAAGGAAAGTGGATTCTTTCACCTTTTACCGAGGGTTTCGTTTTTGAAAGCTTCTGAAGATGAGGCTTCGTGTATTGATTTGGAGGAAGTGAGGAAATGGTGTTGCGTGGTTGTCACGCACGGGAAGGATGGGTGTGAGGTGTTTTGTAGAGATGTGCGTTTTAGGGTTGATCCGTTTGAGGCGTGTCAGGTTGATCCTACTGGTGCTGGAGACTGTTTTCTTGGTGGTTTTGCTGCTGGGATTGTGCAGGGGATGGGTGTTTTTGATGCTGCTTTGTTGGGCAACTTTTTTGGTTCTTTGGGTGTGGCGCAAGTTGGACCGCCCGAGCTTGATTTCACATTGGTTCAGGTTTGTTTCTTAGATCCATTTTATCATTCAATGTTAGTATGTGATTGTGTATGAATGAAATGGTAGTATAGTTGTTGCAATACTGATTGTGATAGCCACAATCACTGCATTGTGAATTAACCACAATTTCTTTTTTATCATAAAAACATTGAATAAAGGTATCGGTATCGACACATTTGGATACCGTTTTGTTGTGGTAAAATATCATTTTCTAAAACCTTGCTTAATACTTGGGTTTGTTTAAGGGAAGCAGAATTGTGGTTTTATGTGATTGTCAATAGTAAGCTTAACAGACACATCAAGATGCATTTGAAAAATGTTTTATAGAATCAAGGGCTAAATTCAAATATTCAATTGGGAGCGTCCTACAAAATCAGGGACCATTTGGTAGGAAACAATCATCAGCATGCACGAAGTTTAGTAATGAACAAGGTTTTAAATAACGGTCGCGCGCGTTGTGGTCGCGTAAAAGCTTTTGCAGTTTTGGTTGGTACAGGTGTCACAATATTGATTGCGGTCGTCGTGGTGTGAATTAACCACAATTTCTTTTTCATCACAAAAACAGTGAATAGCACTATCGGTATCGGCACTTTCTGATACCGTTTTGTCACGTCCGTTTTTGCGGTAACAGGCCCTTGTTTAAATCTTGGTAGTAAATATCAACAAAAGGATGAATTTGAGAAATGTTTAAGAGAATCTAGGACTAAATTGGAATGTTCATAGTCTAAGCGACTAAATTGGCCTGCATAGTTCAACAACCGAGCTACCTTACTTGGGACTGTGTTATTATGATTAAGTTCATTTTGTTGGAATAGTGGTTAATTGAATGGACATTCGGGCAGTGATGCGAATCTTGTTTAAACCAAAGTGATCCTTGAGTCAGATTCAAAATATGTTGTGGATAACATAAAATATAATCGGGAAATCCAGGCTCAATATGAGAATATCATTTTAAATTGTAGGAGCATTTAATTTTCCATATTTTTTCAACTTTTTCGTAGAGATTGCTATTTGGAGGTCCTTGTGGTTGTTCATATCATGTATGAGATGCAAATATGATTAGCCTTTAAAATTGTAATGAAAATACCAATTGTATTGTAGTTTTGATTATTAATGGAATCACGTATGTCAAAAAAAGATAATGAGACTCAGACCCTTATTGATATAAGCAAGATTGTCAAAATCACGATCTAGATCTTAAGATCTTACGATTTTCCGATCCCACTCACCCCCAACAATTGCGATCTTAAATAGAATTGTGTGTTGTAGCCAAATTGTGAAAAAAATCACAACCATTGATTATGTGTGATCTTGGCCAGTTCCGGCCACGATCAACCGTTATCCAATCACCACCATTGCAAGTCGAGAAGGATGACAAGATGCCAAGGTGCAACAATTATGGTTCTGCGGAGGCCATTTTCCCACGAATACATTTGCCTACCAAAATATCATGGAAAAAAACTTCAAATATATAGTATTATTTTTTGTTTTAGTAATATCTTACGATTTTTGTTACGATTGTATGCTTTAAGATCTTGCTACCCCTCCCGATTTTACAAAAATAATTGGGTAGAATATGCCAATCTTAATTACGATCTTACTATTCTCTCCCGATCGTGACAACCTTGGATATAAGGATTCCCATTTTGCTGGTGTATTTGTTTATGTTGCATGATGTTAGCAATCGTGAATTTGGCCACTTGAAATTTTCTTTAGTGGTGTAGCCTGTAGGATCTCAGCATGCCTTTTCTGAAATGCCCGACATAGTTTAGGAAGACCATTTGTTGATTTGTGAATTGGGCACAAATGGTGTGGTTTAGTTTGAGGTTTCCATATGCGACTGTTTACCAGATTCAGAGCTTTCCATATGCGACTGTTAAAACCAGACTCGGAGTTTGTTAATAATTTATGATATGCTATCTCCAATTATCGAATGATTAAAATAGTTGTCATTTCAGATACTGTATCAGTGGTGCACATGATCATGATCTTAGTCGATCTTAAGGAAGAAAAATACAATGATATATTGTTGTCGATTGAAGGAAGTATCTGCAATCTGTTGCAATAAATAACAGATAATAGTGAGCATATGCTTGTGCTGTTGTAAATTTCGTATGCAGATTACGCATTGAATTTTTCACTCACTTGGTCATGTATTGCTTTTATTTTTGTTTTGCGATCCTGTATCTGTTCAGTTACATTCGCAGTATCATAAAGAGTTGAGACTTGAGAGCAATGTAGTCAAAATCACGAGTCGCCCTGTGGGATTGTAGAATTCTACGATCTGTGACCATAGTTCGATGTTGCGATATGACCAGGATCGCTGGAGGTGTGTGTCATGGTCGAGCTTGCGAGTTTGAAGTGGGATTGTAGGATTGCACACTTTGGGCCAACTGTTTTGCACGGTTGGCTCAAAGTGAGAAGAGAATGAGAAAAACCCTATGTTTGTCTCACTCTTTCATGGGTCAAGTTTCCTTCCCTGCGACTCTGTTCCTTCTTGCGTCGCCACTCGCCGTTTCTTTATTCTGACTTGTCAATTCACTATTATAATTGAATCTAAGAATTAATCATATGAAGTAGCAAAATAATAGTCTTATTATATCAATTTCCCTCACTTTATATTATGTTAAATTTCAGATGGTTAAGGAAGAGATGCACAAAAGGAAGGTGCATGACTCTCCTGACTCCGAAAAAACAGACGACTGGCTTGTGTTCCGGAAGCCACGAGATCAAAATCAATTCTATACATCTCTTGTTACTGCCAAAAACATAATTATGTGTCACATTCAAGAAAATGGGCGGAATCTGCTCAGCTCTACGAAAGGGATCGAGCAAAGTAATGGGAAGACAAGAGTGGTAATAAATTCTGTCAAACATGAACCAATTTCAAGTGTTGACAGTGAATAATCCTAATATCATGGGATGATTGTAGCTCAAATTCTTGCTGCAATTCTTCGACACCCTCTTTAGGATCTCACTTCACTTGAAGTAAGTAATATTTCATTTTATGGTGTTTTTTTGTACACCAAGTCTCATGTGTAGCCTAATTGTAGTTAATAGTAGTGCTAAATTACTAATGAATTGTTCTTAAAAAAATAAAAGAAATTGAAAATTCAGTCAAGATATTGAAGTTACCCATTGGGCATAGTTTTTAGATTTAATGCAAAGAAGTCCCAAGGCCAACAAAGCAATTAGCACCTAGTTGCCAATGAATGTTGGTTTAATTGGTATGGATTCAATTCATATTTTACAAAACCTTGTTGTCAAATGTAAGAAAATCTTTGTTGGATAATATGTCCCCCAACTTATCACTTGATTTGCAATAGATATAGAGAATCACGGGAAATTGGTTGATTCCAACATATCCATTGTGGGAAGGTCATTGCTAAGATGCACAGATAAGAATGTCATTCTTGATGAGCATTCTAATATGGTCTCTGATATACCTCCAGCTTCAAGTAGGTGGTAGTTAAAAAAAAAAACATTGAAGATTCTTTTTAGTCTAGGAGAAAAATGAGACTCAAATTAGTATCTGACACGAATAAAAATAATTTCTAGTCTTAAAAAAAATTGTAACAACTTAATAGTTTGATATGAAAGAAAAGAAATGTGTATTTATAAAGAGTTTGAAATGTCTTATAGCTAAAATAATTGATAAAGGGTGGGTAGGATAGCTCAACCCTAAAATATAATGTTAATAATTTTTCAATTTAATAATATAAAAAAATTATGTTATTAATAAAATATAATGAAATAATTTTTTGTTATATATTTGTGTAGTATGAGTATTTAAGAACAAGAAAAAAATAGATGACAAACAATTAAAATGATAAAAAATAATATCTATTAAATAATGTTAATTAATTATATAACATTTTATAAAAATTTATTTTTTATGCGTTTAATATGTACTTTTTATTTGAAATATTTTTATTTTTGATTTAAAAAGAAGATTGAATTAATTCAAAAAATCAACATAGTATAAGGCGATCGCATGAATCCAGCCCACAAAAAAACAAAGTAAAGGTCACAATCATGAAACTAAGGCATTATCATATTTGCTATGTGTGTCCTAAGCTTTCGATTATACCAACCCCTATATACAATCATATCTATTATATTATCAATTATTTTTGTCTTATCTACAACATTACCGTAACAAATATCATTATAGTATTTTCACACACCATAGACTGTTTCTGTAGCAGCTAGTTTCAAGATGCATGCTCTCCACCCCTTATCCTTGGTACTCTTTCTCAACCATTATAATTCCTCGTCCCAAACATGCAGAGTATGAACAATCTAAGACCATTCGAGAATCTTTGTCCAAATACAGCTCGTTTTAGGACATTCAAAGCTCGTTTTAGGACATTCAAACAGAAAATGGTTAATGGATTCCTCTTCTTGATTGCACAAACAACATCTATCATCTGCAATCATACCGTAGCGATAAAGGCGATGTTTTGTCGTCAGTCTACCATGACATGACCTGAACTCTCAGACAGACAACATTACAACAGAAAATTTTCCTCCAAGTTACTTTGGGAATATCACACATAGCCTTATACACATCTTTCATCTTAAATTTGTTGTTCATTAACATATGATCCCAAACCTGTTGAATGTCAGCCACAACAAGCCTCTGCTTGATGATATCTTCATAATCCAGGAGGTGTTATTTTCGATGTTAATGTTCATCAAGTTCTCTTTTTTCAGATGATAAGTATGTAACCACTTAACCCATAGACTATCAACCTTACCACTGAGGTTTCAGAGAAGTTTCATCATAGTAACTTGATTTCAAATTTTAAGATCAATAATATCTAGGCCTCCATAGTCCTGAGGTCTACAGACATTATCCCAAGCAACATGATTTTTTCTACTAATTATGGAACGACCTGTCCATAAGAAAGATCTACATATAACTTCAATTTTATAAATAACAAACTTAGGGATAGGGAAGCATTGCATCCAATAGTTCACAATGGAAAATGTAACACTTTTAATAAGTTGGACACACCCGCATAACTAAGGAGTTTTGTGCTCTAATGATTAACTCCAGTCATTATCTTTTCAATCAACGACATATAGTAATGAATTGAAAGTTTTTGAGGTTAGAGGGGCCCCTAAATACCTGAAGAGGAGTGGCCCTCATGAAATGCCATATGGTTCATAATATTCTGCCTTGTTCTTTCATCTACTCCACCAAAATAGATTTTGTATTTTGTTGGATTGAGTTTGAGACCAGTGCAGAGAAAGTGTTGAAAGCCTCCATCATGAGCTCCACCGACATATAGTCGCCTTTAGAGAAAAGTAATAAATCATCTGCAAAAGAAAGGTTAGTAATGTGAAGCTTCTCACATTTGATATGATGGTTGAAATTGGGGTTCTTTTGTATTTGGCGAAGACACCTATTCAGATATTCTATTATAATGACAAATAAGAGAGGTGAAATAGGGTCTCCCTGACTAATACCCCGCTTAGCATGTACAACTTTCGTAAGATGTCCATTGATGTTGAATTCATAAGTAACAGAGGTGACGGTAAGCATAACCCATCTAACAAATTGGGTTGGAATCCCTATCTCTTTCATAATGCATTCCAAAGCATCCCAATTAACTATATCATAAACCTTTTGGAGATCGATTTGAATCATGCAACGAGGAGTGCCATCCTTTCTAGAATACTCCCTTATCAATTCATACACCAACAGGATGTGATTATGAATATGTTGGTCTGGTACAAATGCAGCCTGCGAATGGTGAACGATATCTCCAATAACCTTGCCCAATTTTATAGTAAGGATTTTTGAAATAATTTTGTGGACAGTGGTACATCATGCTGTAGGTCTATAATCTTTAATAGTTCTACTATCTCCATGTTTCGGAATAAGCGTCACCACAGTACCATTGAAAGCTTTTGAATAGGCGCTCACGGTAAAAGAAATCCTTAATTGCATTAGTCAAGTCATGTTTAATGGTATCCCAACTACCTTTGAAAAAGTGGGCTCCATAACCATCTACCCCAGGTGATTTCAAATCCCCAATGCCCTTAAGAGCCATGTGAATCTCTTTCTCACTGATTGGAGCCACAAGCCTCAGCCGTTGATTTCGTCAGTTGTGACTAACAGGTTGGTATAATATTCCACAACTTCATCTTCAATATCGTTTTGAGCAGTTAAGATTGTGCCATCTTCCTTGAACAATTTTGTCATATGTTTGGAAATGTTTTTGGCTTTTATGGATGCATGGAAGTATGAATTATTACCGTCACCCCCACTTAAGCCAATCGAGTTTTGCCTTTTGTGTCAGAATTTTTTCCTCTAATTCCTGCAAGCTAACTACCTCTGCTGACAGATTTTTAATCCGCGCTACAGTGCTGCCATTCATGGAGTCTGATACAAGAATATTCTGCGCTTCAGCTAGTCCCTGGCTTTTTTTAGCAGTTGCTGATTGTACATAACTGGTTTGCTAAAATCTCTCAAAACAGGCTGCAGTCTCATCAATTTATTCCACAGGAGGTACATAGCGTTATCTGACATCGGGAGGTTCCAATTTTCCGCAACAATAGCATCATACCCTTCTATATCCATACTGCAGTTATAAAATTTGAAACCTGGCTTTCTAAACAGTTTTCTGTCATTACCTGTCAGTAGCAACAAAGAATGATCTGAAACATTTGGGTGTAGTAGAATGTTGAGCTTAGTGTCGCTGTTCCGCTGAAGCCATTCAATGTTTCCTAGCACATGATCAATTCGAGAATAGATTGTTCCTTCGGTATGATTATTAGACCACGTATAGTAGCTGCCTGTACTTTCCTTTTCATATAAACCAACTATGTTCATCATGTTACACATGTCGGCGTATTCAGATTTGGTCACGATGTTTCCGCCCATTCTTTCATTACTATGGACAACATTATTAAAATCACCTATCAATACCCAGGGGCCTTGTTTCTGCCCATGTATTGTGATAATATCGTTCCGTAATATTCGACAATGCGAGAAATTTCCTGCTATATCATAAACACCACAGTGAATGAATTGGCTGGTACAACTAACAACTTTAATGTCAATTTCAGTCGAATTCCAATATAGACAAACCCTTCCATTTACATGGTGCTGGTAATTATCAATAAAACTACCCTGCAGCTTGAGTTTATCGTGGACAGTAGTAGCGTTCTTTTGTTTAACACGAGTTTCCAATAAAGCAATCACTTTAAAACGAAGCTCTGGGAGACGGGAGCGAATCTCCCTTAGCTTGTCCAATTTGTTGAGCCCCGCACATTCCAAGCAGCTAACATGGATCACCATCTTGAAACACTGGTGAGTCGTTCCAATCTCCCAGTGGTCCAAAACCATTGGCACAATTAACAGTTTTTAGTGATTTATCTTTCGGTGTCCCCTTGTTTCTGTCCTTTCCACTTTGTGATAGAGATCCATTCTGGGTTAAGCTCAAGAACAGTAACCTGATTATTCAACTTCGACCATGCAACTAGCGAAGTATCAGTCTCTTGTGCAGCTTCACCTGCACTACTGTAACATTATGCTTGGGAATCTGCTTCTGTTTTGGCTGCCAGGATTTAACTGGTTTTTCAGCTTGACATACATGACCAAATCGTTGACATTTATCACAAAATTGCGGTTTCCATTCATACTCAATGGACCGGATCAGTTTAGCACCATTACGATCCTTGATCATGATCTCCTTCAGCAACGTTTGAGTAACATCCACTTCAACTAACATTTGAAATTTGTTTGCAGTGCATTCATCAGTCCTAACAGGATTTCTAATTGCACTTCCAATCTTACTGAGGCTTTTTCCCCCATAGGTGGAGCTGTAAATTAGGGAGTTTGATCCAAATTGGTAAAGTGCGCAACATATCATTCTTTAGGTTAAAGCTAGGTT